AGAAAGTTTGGGAATGTCTTATACGAGCGCCGTACATGCCAGGCGAGCCGAGCTTTCCTGGAGGCTGACTCCTTCCCAGCGGGCTCCAGCAATCTCTTTGGTAGTACCTGCTCATAGCTGCTCTTTTATTTGTTCTTCTAGCAGCCTTCGGTGATTTATTCTTACGCTGAATATAACCACAAAGGTAAACTGAGCTGCACTGATGGTTCTCTGGTTCTTTACAAGAAGGGCATCACAACGCGCTGGAAACCCAGGTAACTCCTGCGCTCTCCCTGTTCATGTAGATATTTCAGGTCAGGAGAGCTCAGCGGGGTGTGTATGGGATGTGCTGTGGTGAGGGTGGTCCGGGAGGAGATGCGGGGACTGTGCTAGGGGCTGCTGGTGTTGTAGGTAACCCACCAGCCAGCTGCCATCCCAGTTTGATCCCAGCATCGATAAGTTCAACATGCAAAATACCAACAGGCAGGAGTTTCCCTTTGGAGGACATCCTTCCCTCCGGGATGCTCAGGGTTGTTGCAGTGAAGGTGCTGACCCACGGAGAGGGCTGATGAATACTGGAAGAAGGACAGATCTGCTATTTCTGTTGTGTTGCACCAGAGCGGGCACCGGGCACCATCCGCTGGGACCACTCGGCTCTTGCTCTGCAAGTGACTGAGCGTTTCTTAGCCTGCGCTGTGTCAGCGTTAACATCTCCTGCCTCCAGATAGGACTGTGTCCTGCGAAGTCTTACTGTTGGTCAAATTGTGCCAGGTCTGAAGTCATCCTCTGCTCTCCCCCTGCTCTTTGAAACGGGACTCAAGACTAATTTGGAGCTTTCTTTCGCATCGGGATTTAAGAACAAGGGGACCGAATACACCAAAGGATGCTCAGCCCAACATTCTGCTCCCAATGGCGGCCGGCAGCACGTGTCCTGGGAAGGAGCAAAAGTGGAAACTATAGGTTACATACCCAATGCTCTCTAAGCCAGAAGTTGCATCGTTGTTTTTAATAGCCCTTGATGGCCCTTTCTGCTGTGAACAGTCCGGTCTCCTCTCGAACCCTTTTTATTGCTTTCAGCCCTCGCCACCTCCTCTGCCCGTGAGCTCAGCTGCTGCTCGCGGTATGAGGAAAGGAGCTGCCTTGCCCTCACACATGCTGTCTAACCACTTCACCGGCCTCCCCTGAGTACTTTTTTGTACGGAACAGTGATTCATCATTCTCCATACAAGGGCTACTTATAAGTTGCAATTGTGTGTACCTCTATGATACCTCGTATGAAAGATTATCTCTTTTTTTTTCACCTCTCCAGTGGTTCACAGGCAGAAAATAAGCCTGTAGCTTCTTTGAGACAATACTGACAGTACAAGAAGAAATCATGGGATATTCCCAGAGAGAGTTACCAAACAGCAACTCTCTCTAAGTCCTTACCGCAGCAAAGGGATTCAAGTAAAGCTGTCTTAAACATCCTATTTTGGTAACATGGTGAAATGCCTGCATGGATTCGAATGTCAAAGCAGAGAAGAAAGACCCATGGGGGAAACAGTGGGACTGAGATGCATTAGCAGCATTGCCACGGGAAAACGTTGTCCTCAAGACACCTAAAATTCACATTTCCAGTCTGTCTGGGCACATTTAGAGAGAAACACAGTTCCTCAACCATAGACTGAGTGCGAGACGTTCGCCTTGAGCTCCTTTGAGGAAATCATCTGTGTTCACCAGCCAGAGCCGTGTCTGCTCCTGATTCCTTGAAGGAATCAGGAGTCCCTTGAACGCCTATCAAAGTGTCTGGCATCTGAAACAAGGAGCTTGTGTGGCCTGGAGGACCCTCAGATTTCTTCTCAGCCCTAAATATAAAGAGATCTTTTATCAGATAGGAGGGGAAGAATGCCACTTTCCCAAACGCCGAGGTTTCGCCTCACTCGGAGCCAGCGTGAGTCACGCAGGCACTGCTGCGTTACACAGACCTGTGCAGGTTAATAAAATCACTGCCAGAGCCCGGGCGGCTCACGGGATGCTGCGCGGCTTTCACATTGACGTCACTGCTTCTCATTTACCCTTGGGTGATAGTGACCGAAATTCATTACTACCTGGCAGCCGTCGGGTAAGCCGTGCAAAATAAATCAGCGTTTTACATCGCAAACAGGTGTCTGCAGCACAAAGGGAGCCGTTCAAATCAGCGGAGCAGGAAGGGATTTTTCATCGGAGGAGCGAAGACATGAATGACTTGTTAGAGTGAGGGGAATTTGCAGGCAAAGAGTGGTAACGGCGAGAGGCACGGGGAGATTGTGCTATAGAGACAGTAGAGAAGCGGTTGGAGCGTGGGGGAGAGGGAGACAGTGACCGAAGGAGACAAAGAGGAGTTAAAGTGAGCAATTCGGCTTTATTATAGGAAAACAGGAACACTGAATGAAACCGGAAAATACATTTAAAAGTGTGAAGAGAAGCTGACTTCGCCCAGTGGCAGTGGCACTTGCCACAAGTGTATCTTGGAGGTCAGGAGCGCTGTGGGGCTGGGGAAAGGCACGGGCATCTGCATCAGGACGGGAAGGCCCAGGAGAACACACAGTCCCGGGTATTTCTGCCTCCGTGGAGGGTATGGAGACTTTCAGGGTAGGACCCAGGCAACAGCTCATGAGCTGATGAATAAAAAAATGATCCTCTGGGATGCTTTAAAATGTGGATTTCTTGCACCTTTGATTGCATCATTTGATCCTGGCCATTTTCAGAGCTGGTCTGGTGTCTCCATGGTCCTTCCTTTGTGGTTTATTCAGGGCAGGATTAAATACGTTGGCCAGGGCAACACAGAGAAGTTTCAGTATTGCGTCACATCTGGTCTGGGGGTGGACAACATCTGTTTCCAGGACCTGGAGTCAGTGGGCATTCAGAGCAAGCTTTTAATGCTCCTTAGCCTGGTGCATTTTTCCAGCCCTAAAAATATGCCTTGAAAGAGGAAATAAAACCTACACAGTTTTTTCTCCACAGCTACTAAAAGATCAAGCAGTACAATCCTGTATCACCTGCAAAAATGCAGATGTTCTCATCTCCCAGCACACATAAAAACCATTTCTCACCCAAAGTAAATCTGGATAGTTGTAATTTCTTTCTTGTTCACATAAAAAGAGAATACAAATTACGGATGGCACTGCCTGTTAAGGAGGAATCTTTTGTTTTCTGGGCAGATCATTAGTAACATAAAATGTTATTTTGTTATCATTACAAAGGTGGGAATCCTGTTGGGTTGAATGGCAATTTTTCATCTCTCTTTTTTTTGTATGACTAAAAGGCGCCCTAGAAGGCAGGAGGATATTATTTGAAACTTAGATTTCCCAGAACACCATTCCCTTGTTCAGTAATAAAAAAAGCCCCCAGTCATCAAAAGTCTGAGTTCCATTAAATGCAACATCCTCTCCCAGGAAGGCTCCTGTGTTCGTTCTGGGACTTGCTAAGAGGAGAGCCCAGCGGCGCCGGGCTCTGGTACACAAGTAGCCGGGGCACGGGCTCTTCTGGCATCAGGAGACGGTGTGCATGCCCTCGCGCTTAGCTTTGGGCAGGCACAGGGAAGGGGCTGATCTCTAGTTTCATTCCAGCCTTTTGGGTCTTTGTTGCATTTTTTTTTTCTCCCACCTGTTGCTTGGCCTGATGTATTTTCACTTTGAGATTTTTGGGAGAAAGGTTTCCTTTCCTTATGAATACAGATCCAGTGCTTAGCACAATAGAATTCTCAAGCTTTAGCGGTGCCTTTCGATGCTAATATAATAAAACTATACAACTTATTTATCAAAGCCTCCTTTAAAGATGATGGAAGAAATAGGTTTTAACCTACTTCTGATCCTCAGGAAAAGCAAGCACTTTGATTCTCTCCTTCCCAGACAAATAGCATTGCATTAGTTGTTTCTGATTTTATTAGCCATAAACCACTTTCTATTTTTATTTTCACATGCCATTGACTTTGTTTGGTTCAGACACAGCTGAACAAAAGCTGGTTTTTCAAGTGCACATCATGTTAATAGATGCCCGGTTCTTTCCACTCCACCTGCAGGAACACAGCTGTAAGAAAGACACCTGATGCCCAAAGAATATTTTCCGATTCTATTTCCTAAATCACCTCCAAGGCCACATTATCCCTTTTGGATTCCCAAATGTGGCATGGCGATGGTTGCTTTAGCACTTCTGGCACTGTGTCTTCACATCAGGAGAATTTATTTCCATGGAGAAGTGAAACAATACGATCAGACAATGAAATCTGAAGTGGTAAAGTGTGTGAAATTCTCCTCTACTATTACTTTTTATGATACCGTTTCTCGACTTTCTTCACTGCTTGCAACTACAGCTGATGGATTTGGAGCAGAGAGTGCCTTTTCTCGCTGCTCCTTATCAGCACAGGATGAGCAGCAGCAGGCAGTCAAATTGTTGCTGTTTCCAAACCGCAGCTCTGCATCCAGAGATGGAGCTGCAGGGAGAGTTGACTCGTTGGGAATTGGATCTATCTAATTATGTGGCTGTTGACTGGGCAACAGGTTACACATCTACTTGTCCCCAGTAAAAATAATTTGTCTTAAAACTTGATCTGAGTTAAAATACGTCATCTTTTTCTCTCGTTATTTGCTTCTTTCCCTGTCTCTGTATTTTTGAACTGGTGGTGAGAGTGATTCGAAGAAAGTTTTTCTGCTGTCATTAAAATATCTAGTTCAGAAAGACCTCAAAGAGTCATTAAATGCAGATGAGGGTTGTGAGGTGCACTTCCTGAGTGGAATTACAAGGATGTGTTCTCACTGGAGACAGTGTTCAGAGGTGGATGCTGGCAGGAGTTCAAGTGTCCACACTTGTTCTTACTGCCATGACCTCCCTGACATCTCCTGCCCATGGCGGGTGTGGCAGGGTGTCCTTTCCTTGAAGGCTCTGTTGAACTCCGGTAAGAGAGCAGCTCTGGGACCGAGGAACGGGTTGTCCCTTCGGACAGAGAGAAGTTAAAGAGAGAGACCATTCTTTGGTGGTATTTGCTCTTCATTTCCTTGGCTGACCTGTAGAGGTTCCCAACAAAGCAATAGCATATAGGGTTGAGGCTGGAATTGGTGAGGCCAAGCCACTGGGCAAAAGGTCTGAGCTGCAGGATCCAAGGAGGAGGAGTCACATCCTGCAAAGATTTGGGGATGTTGAAGTCAATCCAGATGTCCATCAGGTAGACAGGCAGCCAGGAGATTGCAAACAGCAGGACCAGGGCCACCACCATCTGCGCCACTTTCTTCCGGATCTTCAGCCTGGAGGCTGGCAGAGATCGGGTCAGGGCAGTGCTCTCCTTCAGCTGGCTGCTGCGGCTCCACAGCCGGCGCACCGTGAGGAAGCAGATGACCATGTTGAACAGGACTGGCAGGCAGTAGAGGGCACAGAAGAGCAGAAAGTTGTAGGCTTGCTTGAGCCTCTCCTGAGGCCAAATCTCCCTGCAGATGGAAAACACCAGAGGCAAGCCCTCCACCACCCCAATTTCATCCCGTTTGTTCATGAAGATGAGGGGCATGCATATCCCTGAGGACAACAACCACACCACCAGGATGGTGCTGAGGATCCGTTTCTGGGTGAAGAAAGACCGGGCGTTGAGTGGGTTGTGCACACTGTAGTACCGGTTCACACTGATGACGGTCAGGCTGAGGACACTGGCAGAGACAGAAACAGCCTGGATGAAAGGCACCGCCCGGCAGAGGAAGTCCCCGTACACCCAGGCTTTGTAGATGAGGTTGCCCACGGTGATGGGCATGCAGACGCACACCACCATGAGGTCGCACACCGCCAGATTGAGGAGGAGGCTGCGGGTGGCACTCAGGCTGGACACCCGATTCCGGCGCTTCCGAGTGAGCACCCTGATAGACATGATGTTGCCCACGAAGCCCACCACAAAGGACACCAGGTACATCACTGTGAGGCTGATGGTGACAGGCTCCTTCGCGAAGAGGAAGAGCATCTTCTCCAGCTCTTCCCAACCCAGCTCCTGGCTCCCGTTCCAGAGCCCACCTTGGGTCTGGTTCTCTTCCTGCCAGAGCTGCAGCAG